TTTTTTTACATACTATAAAAAATAAAATGATATTCAATGTGCTTTTACCTAACAATATACTTACTTTTAATCTAATGAAATATATAGTGAGATGTGTAATAAAATATTTGGAAATGACTCATCTAAGTAGTTATGATGTCATAAATTTTAATTATGTAACTTACACAATTATCTTAAAATATGCCTTGAATTACTAAGCATTTGAAAACTTCCTTTTAATAAAAATTTATAGTATGTAAAAAAATGTCTATGGTCATAGTTTAGTCAACTAGTTTAAGGAACAAAATATATATCTAGTCAAGGTTTATCTGAGAATATTTGTTTTTTTCACCCAACCCTTATCTACATAGCACATGATAATTAAAAGTACCAGACCGGTGGAACTAACCTTCTTGGATGTTTAAGTCATACTTTGAGGCCAACACTACTGACTCTAGAATGAGGATAAACAGCCTTTGCTAGTAAATGGAATGATTCCTGCAATACACATCAAAATTTTGACGTAGTGCAGTGAATTTAATAGAATAAGTCAGTCTCTGAGACTCCAAATGAACCAAGTCTCCCCAAACTCATATTATAATGCAACCTTTCCTAAAAGATAGTTACAAGAACATATGTACCTTTAACCTTGATAGCGGTCTTCTAAATACCTATATAATAACTTCATTTAATAAAGGCACCATCATCACACAATATTTGAAACTGCCAGAACTGTAAATCAAATGTAAAATCCCACAGTTCTGTCTCAGTTTCAACAGGACCACAAACTATTAAAGAAATCATCAATGTGAGCAAGCCATGACGCTTTGGTGCTATATCTCCTCTGTCATAGTGTTATGAAAACCAGGTAATTAGAGGGGTACAATGTATAACATAATCTATGATCTTATAAAAAGAAAAATTTCTGGGCATGAACCTTAGTGTCAAGTGACCTTAAGAAGGCAGCTGATGCTAATGACTACTCACATTAGTAAGGGAAACTATTATTTGGGTTCTATAGAAAATTGAGTATGGATAAAGCAAAATGTGATATTTAGAAAACTCTGATAAGTATAAATATCAGTGAAAGTCTAATATTTATTTCTTTAGGTGCTATGGATTGAGTCCAGGAGTTCGCACATACTAAGCACGTGCTCTACGTAGTCAAAAGATACTATTTTTATTTAGCATGATGCAAGTTTAACTTGCTCAAAATTTACATGCAACTGAATTCAAGAGCAAGTATCAAAATAACCAGATATTATTTTTAAATTTAATATTAACATATTCACTAGTGATAATTCTTTGATTCAATTTCTGAAAGAAAAATATTAATTAAATTTTTATAAAATATCTTTGGAGTACAAAACTTAATTCCTCAACATAATCTTCTTGCATTTCTTAAAAGAATCCTAAATTACTGAAAAGCAGAGATGATTCATGATACAAAGGTATTATGTAGAGAAGATTGTGGAAAAGAAGGCAAACAATTTCAAACAGCATAAGAAAATCAATAATTGTAGCAAAAATAAAGCTTAAGAACAGGAGAATGATTGAAGAAATAGGTCTTTGACCTTTCCTAAAATATTCTCACCAAAAAAAGGATTTTAAACTACATTCAGATTTCAACAAGTACCCTTTATAAGTTTAACTGAGTTTCTGAAAGTTAAAAAAAAAAAAACAACCCAGTCTTTAAAATGGATGAAGAAGGCTGGAGACATGGCTCAGTGGTTAAGACCACTGGCACTAGGCCCTGCAGAGAACCCAGACTCGGCTCCCACCATCCATATGGAGGCTAACAACTCTCCAAAACTCCAGTTCCAGGGGATCCAACACCCTCTTCTGACCTCTACAGGCACTGTATGACACAGGTGCACTTACACTTAATGGCAATACACTCATACACATAAAATAAACATAATAAAATACTTTTAAAAGAAGTGTTTTATTTATTATTTTTATTTTATGTGTATGAGTGTATTGCCTGCAATGTGAGTGCGCCCATGTCGTGCAATGCCACGTAGGTCATAAGACAGCATAGGATTCCCCTGGAACTGGAGTCAAGGAAGGTTCGTAGCCACTATGTGGGTGCTGGGAATAGAACCTGGGTCCTCTGCAAGAGCAGTCAGTGCTCTTAACCACTGAGCCATCTCTCCAGCCCCTAAAATACTTTTAAAAATTGGATGAAGAGCTGAAAAATGGTACGATAACCTTGAACTTTCTAGTAAGTGTACTTTTTGCATTTGAGCAGTGAGACACAGAAGAGAAGCTAGTCCTTAACCTTAGGGCAGAGTTGGATCTACTATCAAAACATAAAAGCAAAAGCCTCTGAAACCTATAATCCTGAGGAGATGCATAAAAAGTCTTATCCAACAACAAAGGAAGACAATAAAAGCTAATTTATCTGTTCAAGTCTAGGCTGTAAATAAGGACAGACAAAGAATCTGAAGTTGAAAAGCTGATGATAACGGCCATGTTCTACATTTTGAGATGCCTGAAATAAGGAAACAGAAACTCTCAGTGGGATTTATCCTTACCCCAAACCTGCCCAGATGTCCATGGGTTGAAGTAATATAAAACTGAATTAATACTGTAAAATTATAAAATTTACAAGGAAATAAGTAACCAGGAGTACAGTCATCAGATAAACAAACAGCAGAATTAGACCTCTATGGGTTTAACTTTTAGAAATAAGTATCAAATATAAATATTATAAAAACTGAAATATGATCAAGAAAAGATTTATTAAAAGCAAACCAAATATAATTTAGAATAATAAATATATTCAAATAAACATCAAGCAATAAAAGAATATTTCTTTAAAATAAGAGTTTAAACAGTTGGGGGTAAAGGGTTATAGACTAGTAGATTATCAATGAGTTTGCTTAATTTTTATTAAGTATGATAAATGGCATTAAAATTATTTGTGCCACCTGTACATTCTAAATTATCAGAGATTTATTTTTTTAAATGTCACAAAGAGATAAAACAATGAAATAAATGATGAAAAACACGGAAAACATTAAATTTGAGTGAAATATAAAATTTCCTCACATAAAAATGACAATTACTGTGTTCCAAAGACCAAAAATGTCTAAAGTATTTGGGAGCTTTTATCTAATCCCTAAAAAATTTTAGGGAATCTTCAGAGGGGGAATGTTAAGAGTAGCAAAAAGCCCCATAAAAAAAGAAAAGAAAGAAAGAGTACATGAAGTTGTCAGAAAAAAGTGATGGCAAGAAATAGGAGGAGTTGGAGGGGAGGGAATGGGCATGGATTTGATCCAAACACCTTATGTGCATGTGTGAAATTTTCAATAAATTTTTTTCTTTTAAAGTAAAATAAATAAATAAATAAATAAATAAATTAATTAATTAATTAATTAATTAATTTTAAAAAAAGAAGCTGCCAGGATGGTGGCACACAACTTTAATCCAGCTCTTGGGAAGCAGAGGCAGGCAGATCTCTGTGAGTCTGAAGTCAGTCTGGTCTCCGTAGCGAATCTAAGCTAGCTGTCACTAGAGGGAGACCCTGTCTCAAAAAGACCAAATAAAATAAAATAGGGCTGGAGAGATGGCTCAGCGGTTAAGAACACTGGTTGTTCTTGCAGAAGACCCAGGTTTGAATCCCAGCACCCACAATGCAGCTAACAACCGTCTGTAACTCTAGTCCCAAGGGATCTGGCAGCCTCTTCTGACCTCTGGAGGCATTGCATGACACGGGTGCACTTACCTACATGCAGGCAATACACTCATACACATAAAATAAAAATAAGAAATTTTAAAAAAAAGAAAAAGAAAAATTAAAATAAAATAAAATGACAATTAAATGGCTATTAAATATAAGAATATTAAACATAGCCAAAGAGAGAATTAGAGAGTGGACAGATAGCTCTGAAGAGAGTATCCAGATTGTAAATAAAACTTTAAACAAACAAACAAAAAAATCTCCAAACTCACCTTCTCTTGGGCTAACTGCTGCAGGAAGCCTGTACCAGTCAAGGGTCCAAGCAGGAGAAGGGTGGGGAGAAAACATCACTTCAATGCCTTTTTCCTAGAAAAGGAAGTACTTTTAAAAATTAATAAATCAATACAGTCCCATTCTGTTTTCAAATGCCAAATTTCTATTTTCTACACTGGTACAGGGAATTAACAGTAAACAGATATGTATCAAAATATTTAGTTATCCCCCTCAAAAAAAGCGTGGTTTTATTTTGATGTCATAGTAATTTTGCTATTATTTTACACTGAGGTAATAAAAGAGTAAAATGAAAACACACAGAAATAAAAAGTTGCCTATAAATATGTTGGGTATAATAGAAAAGATTCACTCAAGGATAAAATGTTATCAAAATTAATTCAGAGATCATACAAAATTCATTTCCACATGTCCATGAGTCTGCCTTTACATACATAAAAAACACCTGTATGAACTATAAGCTACATTTACAGTACCAAAAAACTACCAACTTAATTCATACCTCAGCACAGCACTCCTATCAGCTTAAGTGATGGTAATTTCTCTAAATGGATTCTAATATTTTATTAAATTTTATTTTTTATTTTATTATTTTCTTTTATTTTGTGTATGAGTTTATGAGTATATGAGTGTATTGCCTGCAAGTATATAAGTGCACCAATGTCATGCAATGCCCATGGAGGTCAGAAGTTGGAGTCCCTTGGAGCTGGAGTTATGGATGGTTGTTAGCCCAGCATGTGGGTACTGGGAATTGAAACCTGGTCATCAGCAAAAGGAGCCAGTATGATCTCTGTGAATTAATTTTGATAACATTTTATCCTTGAGTGAATCTTTTCTATTATACCCAACATATTTATAGGCAACTTTTTATTTCTGTGTGTTTTCATTTTACTCTTTTATTACCTCAGTGTAAAATAATAGCAAAATTACTATGACATCAAAATAAAACCACAGTGCTCTTAACCACTGAACTATCTGTCCAGTCCCAGATTCTAATAGTTTAAAGAAGGAGAAGCACTTTTTAGTATTTTAAATCTTTCTTTCAAGGTTCTTTCCTTTGTTTGAAGTTGTTCATTTTCATTTAATGCCAGGCACGTTGGCACATAGCTTTAATTCTAGCACTTGCAATGTGGAAGCAGAAGGTTCAGTAATTCAGAGTCAGCGTTAACTATAAAACAAATTCAAGGCCAGCCTGGGTTACATGAGACTTTGTCTCAAACCAACCAACCAACCAACCAACCAACCAACCAACCAACCAAGAAAAAGCTGTGGATTTATTATTTTAGCTATAGACAGTGGCAGAGCAAACACCTGATTCATATCCCTCCAATTGCCATGTGTCCATATCCCATGACAGAGATGACCACTGTTCAGATAGTATCATCTCTAGAATAACCTATTTGAAAGGAAATTTGCAGCCAGAAGTGGTGACACACAACTTTAAGTCCCAGCACTAGAAAGTCTGAAGCAGGAGAACCACTAGAACCTGAGTGAGGCCAGGCTGGGCATCATAGTAAAGACATCCTACCCACTCCCTGTTTCTCACTAAAATGAAAATTGCTGAGAATTAACCTTTAACTCTTTTATAGCAGTTATTCATGAGATTATTTTCCATTATGAAAACTAACTTATTTAGAAAGAAAAAGAGAACAATCCTTTTATCAGGGCTCGGGATAGATCTAGAAATCTAGATCACCCATTTGTTTCTAGAATGATAACCATCTCTCTGACATCAGTGATCCCATTCCTATTTTCTTTACTCAGGCTTTGCTATTCTTTATTTCCAATTTCTTTCCTACTGTAGGGTCTTTTTTAAAACATATCTATATGGAGATACTACTTGTAGAGAACAAAACTTGACTTCCTAAGGTATACAAACCTTGAAAAGTATGTTGAGATATTAATTTTTCTATTTCTTTAACTCTTAAACCATCATCTCACATTTAAAGGCTGAAATCAAAGTTTTATAAAACAAAAAATTCAGGTTAAAATAATACACCTGAACAAATATGCTAGGTTGGTCTATGACCTGAATGTTTTTTAAATGTTTTAAGAAAAATACTTTTTTTTTTGGACAAGGTCTGTCCCTAGTCCCAGCCCACCTGGAAGTCACTATGTGGACCAGGCTGGCCTTAATCACACAGAGATTCACCTGCCTCTGCTTCCCAAGGCACGTACCACCATGCCTGGCATAGAAAAATATTATTTTAAAGTTAGTATTTGACTTATTGGCTCCAAAGGCACAAAGTATCAAAAATCTTCAATTTACAGTGTTGCATTTTAAATAACAGATTAACAGAAATATCACTTGTACAAGGGGGTATGAATAGCTATAAATAAAATTTGCAGCAGATTATATCAGTTAATGATTACTAGTTGGAAAAGAATGCCCACAGTGAATTTTTGAAAGGAAATTTCCATAAAACAAGCTAAGCACCATTAACTTCGTCATAGTGGGTCTTGGTCCTCCTATAAATGAAGGATCATTTAGTTCCTCTACAGCTGTCACTTCACTTAAGTCAGGATGCTGTTCATCAGAAGTGCTCAGTAATTCTGGCAAATACAGGAAATGGATCCCACACTTGGATGCTGCTGTTTTTACTCTGGGTACCTCCTGAATCCTCTGGTACCAAGAGGCTAGCAGTGGAAATTCTGTCAGCTTTTCAGAAAATCTCTTGCAGACAATCATCTGGGGAAGAAAAAAGATACAATGTATTGTTATATTTTTTATTGTTTATAATAATTGTAAAGAGGTAACTACAGATCATAAAATTCACACATATCAGGGGTAAAATTCAAATAATGAGGTTTAGTAAATTCAAGCAATTGTACAACTACCACTACAATCCAGTTCTAGGATACCATGTTATGCCCTACCCTAAAAGAGCACTGTGGCCATTTGCAGTCAGTTTCTGTTCTCATGATCAGTTGCAGGTAACCAGTGGTCTGTTTTCCATGTTTATAATTTTGCCTTTTTCATAATTTATTATAAAAGGAGTCATAAAAACTGCCTTGTCTTTTTTCATTTGGCTTTATGCTTTTACCTTTCACTCATACAGTTTTTTTTTTAATCAGTGATTTGCTTTTTTATTACAGTGGTAGTCATTGTGAAGACCTACTATATTCTGCTCATCTATCCAGTAGTTTATGGACAGTTGTATGTTTCTAGGTATTGACTACTATAAACAGTATGTCTATTATGAAATATGCTGATAAACATTTTCATTTGGCTTTATGCTTTTACCTTTCACTCATACAGTTTTTTTTTTAATCAGTGATTTGCTTTTTTATTACAGTGGTAGTCATTGTGAAGACCTACTATATTCTGCTCATCTATCCAGTAGTTTATGGACAGTTGTATGTTTCTAGGTATTGACTACTATAAACAGTATGTCTATTATGAAATATGCTGATAAACATAGTAAACAGACCAGTGTTTGCACAAAGCATTTTTCGTTTCATTTAAGAGTCAAACTTATCTACTGAGTTATTCTCCATGGTGGCCATACATTTTATATTCGACTGGAAATTTGTGGAGATTCCAACTCCTCCACACACTTTATTTATGTGTATTTGACTGTCTCTGTATTATCTGTATTTGACTGTGGGCATGTGCAGATGATGGCACACATGTGGACGTCAGAGGACAACCTTCAGGGGTCAGTTTTCTCCTTTCATCATGAGATCCAGAGACTGAACTCAGGTCATCAGACTTGGTTGGCAAGTCCTTTTACCCACTGAGTCATCTTGCTAGTCCCAATTCCTCCATATCTTGCCAACACTTGTCATTGCAGTATTATTGGGGGTATACAGTAGTTTCTCCTTGTGATTTTCATTTTAATTTCCCCTTGATTTGAACACCTTGTCTTGTCTTTATTTGTCATTTGTCTATCTTCTTTGGTGATATCAGCTAAGTTTTCAACATCCATTAATATAAAAATTATAGCAAATCAATAATACGGAAACAAAACAATTGGACAAAAGCGCCTAAATAGACACCATACCAAAAGTTACACATATGAACACGGCAACAAAGGCTATGAAAAATGCTAATTATCACATATTACACAATTGGAAACTAAAGTGATACCACCACATACCTATTAGAATACAGATCCAAAAGACAATGTCAAATGATGATAAGGATGTGAACCAACAGAAACTCTCCTTTAAAAGATATTCTGGAAGTTTCTTTTAAAACTAAACTCACTACACAGATCCAGTAATAAAACTTCAAAGAGTTGAAAACATCCACAGTTCTATTTGTAAATTGGTAAACTTTGGAGGAAGTTGTATTCAGTAGAGGAATGGCTAATATGTGGTACATTCAACAATGGTAAAAACTACACTCAGTTGGAGAGAGAATGTAACAGGTAAGCCAGAGAAGAATCCATACAAATAACAATGACATTTATAAATGGCTGTCAATGCTAAAATTTGAAATCAGTTTAGAAGATTTGCAACTTGTATTCAACTGTCATCTATCATGGCTTGCCATCTTTTAACCCTCTCTTCCCTCAAATCTGGACACCCCTTCATCTATAACTCATCACTAAAAACATTCCGTTGTCTCCTAACCTTCACTGTAATGGATAAGTTCTCAATACACTGAGTACAGAAAGCTATAGGAAAATTCCATATTGTTAATATATACTGATGAAAATCCCCATTAACTGATTAATGGTGAGAGAAGATACGTTGAAGCACTAACTTCCTCAAAGTAAAATGTATAATGATTGTAAATGATCACAATTTGATGTCAATAAAGGGTCTACAATCGCTGATGAATTTTTAGGTGTCAAGGGATAATTTGCAGCTTAATAGAAAAATATGGAGGAGGGTTTACATGCTTATTTTAATGAACAGTTACCTAAACTTCCTTTTCCTTGATGAAGCTTTTATTCCTAAAGATAGAAACTATTATGTGTCATTTACATGACATTATGCTGAAATAATATAAGAAGCACACTGCAAAGCCTTAGAAAAGGATGTTTGGTGGGTTAAGAAGGATATTCCACTAAAGTAAAAAACAAAAAACAAAATCATAAACATTTAAAATTGAAAAGGAGAGCTACGGTAGTCCCTGCACCCACACCTTATCCATGATTTTGCTGTCCAAGGTTTCCTGTGGTCAACTATAGTCTGTTTATATCAAATGGAAAATTCCAAAGTAGCAAGTCATGAGTTTTAGGAAGGAAAAAAGTATGTGCATTTACTTCTGTACTCACAGTGTCAAATCATTCACTCTAAGTTAGATTACAAGGTGCTGTGGGAGCAAAACAGTTTACAGTTCTTTGCAAAATTCTTAAATGCCTCGAAATAGATTAAGTGTTAAAAAGAACTGAGTATAAAACACAAAAAACTACCTTTCCTAGGCTCATAACTCCCAAATGATGGAAAACAAAGATAGTGAAATAACTGACTGACTGGGTTGGAAAAACAGTAGCCTCTGAACTGTCGGAGAAGGATTTCAGAATATCGTGTTTTTAAAAAGGAGCAAAGACCCTGTTAAGCACTTAAATAAGCAGATGTACCCAAACAAGAAAATTATCAAAGTCAATTTAGGACCCTAACAAGAAAATTATCAAAGTGGATGAAAGATTTATAACTTGGAGAAGAAATTAAAAAACAGAGAAAAAAAATATTCAACAAAGATATTGAGACCAGAAACCAGAAACCAAAGAGCAATTCTAGAAATGATGGACTCAATCAATCAAAGAAAAAACAGAGAAGAAAGCATCATCAAGGGCTGGAGAGGTGGTTTCGTGGGCACCAAAGTGTTTGCGGCACCTAGTAAAAAGCTGGGCATAGCAGTGTGTGTGTGGAAATCCAGCACTGGGAGGACAGAGACAGCGGATACCTGAAGCTCACTGGACAGCCAACCTAGCTGAATCTCACTGAGCTTCAGATTCAATGAAGGACCCTATGTCAAAAAATAAAGTGGAGAGCACCTGAGAAGACAGTCAATGTCAGCCTTGGGCACACACATGCAAGAATCATCAAGAAACAAAACCAAGCAGAACAGCAAATTTTAGGGATACAGAAGAACAAGGTCAACATAATAATACATCCAGTTTTATATAAAGAAAAGAATTAATGAATACAACCAAAACTTCCAATAATTCTGAGATGCATTCAAGAACAGGGACAGTGGAAGAAGCTTTCAGTAAAATTATAACAGATTTCCCAAACACAGAGAAAGAAATGGACACCCCAAGCAATTCCCTAATAGACATAACCATAGAAGAAACTCTACACAACAATCACAGTCAAGATGTTTTTTTTAAAAAAAGCCAAGAAACAATGCTGAAAATTGTAAGGTAAAAATGCTAACTCACATACGAAGACAGCAACATCAGAACAGTCAGCAATCCTAAAAGCCAGGAAAGCACGGAATGATTCATTTCAAGCCCTGAAAGTAACTGTCAACAAAGATTTCTATAAACAGCGAAATCACCTCTTAAAATGGGAGAAGTAAGCGCATTTAAAGAAAAGCACAAATTAAGGCAATTCATGACAATAAAGCCAGCATTGCAGAAAACGCTTTAGTATTATACAGAAGAAAAAGAAAAAAGACATTTTCACACAAAAACATGCAGGAAAGAATACATTCCATGAAAGCAACAGAACAAAAACTGGGAAGGAAGCAATCATGTCCAGCACAACAAACCCACAAACCCCTAATACAATCAGGAAAGGAAGAGAAAAAAAAAGTCCACTAATCTACCAGCCAGAACCACCACCGACAAAATCATAGGAAATAGTGAATTTCTCTCAGTAATAACTACTTGCAGATGTCTTCACCAATTAAAAGATGCAGAGTGACTGGATTAAAAAAAAAAAAAACAGTAACCAACTGCCATTCTAAGAAAGACAACAGCTGACAAAAATATCCCCAAATGAGGAGTCAATGGATGGAAATCAACAGAGGAATCAAGCAGAAGCAACAAGGAGCTGGAGTAATGATTCTTATGACTAATAATGTAAACTTCAAAACTAATCAAAAGAGATAAAGAGCACAATTATAGACTAATAAAGGGAACAATATCAAGAATAGACAACAATTAGACAAAGAGACAAAATATTTTGTCACTGAACCTGGGGCTCTGGATTTCATAAAGCAAAAAAGAATATAAGTACCCACACAGGTCCCAACAGAGTAACAGTGGAGATATCAATGTCCCACCCTCATATTTAGATAGGTCTTCCAAGCTAATAATCAGCAAAGAAACTTCAAAACTAAATTAAACCAAAGAGCAACTGCATTTTAGCAGTATGTACAAAATGTTCCATCCAACAAATAAGGAATATACATTCTTCTCAGTGGTCAACAGAACCTACTTTAAAATTGATCACATTATGTCACAAAAACTTTACAAATATAAAAATTGAAACAATTCTTTGTGTCTTATCTTACCACTGTGGGAGAAAAACAAACAAACAAACAAATGAACAAACAAACAAACAAACAAAAAAACAAAAAACAAAAAAACCCTAACAACAACAAAAAAACCCCAAACCCTACAAATCAACAGCAAGAAAATCCTCAGAAACTACACAAAGACTTGGGAATCAAACAACATACTTTTTGAAGAAATAAGGAAGGCAATTAAAAAATTCCTAGCATCAAAGGAAAATGAGAGTACACACTGCCAGAATCTCTATGACTTCCCTAAAAGGAAAGTTTAT